CCTAACCTCTCCATATTCAGACTTGGAGCCAATCCTGCCAGTTTTCAGACCCTCTTCCTCACCTACCTGCTGCCTCCATATTGAGTCATTCTTGGGTTTTACAGGGTGAACTGCTTTCCTCCAGTCCTGGCCTCCCTCTGTAGGCATCAGGGCTGCAGCCCGCCCACCTCTCCAGTGGCTCAGCACTCCTTCACCTGCTTTTGCTGGCTCCACATAGCATTGTCATTCCTCACCTGTCAGCTGCTTTCCTTTTCCATTTGTCCTTACGGGTTTATACTTTTTCAGATATAACCTTAATTTCAGAAGTGTGCAGAGATAAGCACCTGGGTCTAAAGTATGTTTTACTGAGTTGCCTTTTGCATGAACAAAAAATTCAACCAAATCAGTTTTTAAAAGAAATACTTTGCTTTCTAAAAATATTCTCTGTCTTAATCTTGAAATTGTCAATTGTATGTATTAAGTTTTTATAAAGGGCCCAAATTATACTTCTGGGTGAAAAATGTATCTAATTTCCTAAATTGCAATTTTAAATGTGTGTGGATTAAATCATCTATACCATACTTTGATTCATAATAGTATGTTTTCTTTAGAATTTTCATTAAATTCAGCATAATTGCCGAGTTGCTTTGTATATAATTATATGTATAATGGATCATTTCTATTACAAATATTTTTGTATGTCTTTTTTGTATTTGTAAAATGTTTAAATATTTTACGTTTCATGTTTATGTTTCTTCCGTCCTTGTTTGTTTGTTTTTTTCTTTTTTGGTCACTCTTGAGCAAGCTCTTTACCAACTGAGCCACTGTGCTGGCCCTCTGTTCTTGTTCTTTGCTAAGCATTTTATTTCATTTCGAAATAGTCTCCAGCAAGAGTAAAATTATCACTTAACATTACTAGAGTGTCTGATTTTTTTTTTGTTTAAAACCTCTTAATATGCCAAGGACTGAAGTAGTAAAAAGTTACAGAAGATCAAGTGAAACTATAAACCTTAATAAAATTATTTCATCTGGGCTTTCAGAGTGAGAATATTGATTAGTGTTAATATTAACTTTTTCATATATTAACTTTTATATAATGACAGATAGCATTTTCAGTGTACTTACAACTTATTAGAGAGAATTTTATTGTTACTTCTGTTCATAATATCTAAACTAAAT